TGTTGAAATGAAAGATGAGACTGGAAATGAGATTAGGGCTTGACAAAAAGGGACTTGAAGATCAGGAAAATAGAATTAGACATCTTCAAACCATACCAGAATTCTAGATTTGGCTTATGGTTTTACTGCCATCAAGAGTTTATAATTTGGTATAATGTGGGGTTTTTTGATCAAATTCTTAATAGATTCTATCTGGAAGATTGGAAATAATTTTTATTTTGAGGAAAAATCATATCCATCATATCCCCAGATCCCTTTGTATTATTCCTAATCAATTTAAATTAAAAAACAAACAAAAGTAGGACTTATTTCAACAACATCAATTTATTTTAACATTGGGAAATCATATCGGTGTTTTCTGAGATTATTATTGAAAATTCAAACTGGGAAATCCATGTTTTAAAAGTATAGGAAGCCAAAGATCTATTTATGAACTACTTTCAGTTTATATTTAGAATAATGTACAATAAAGAGAAATGATTCATTGCAAATAATACTATAAAATTATCCCATGTATAATTTTTTCAATGAGTCAATTTTATAATATCAGACAAACAAAAGCTGAAGGATTTCATCAATAACAGACCTGTCTTACAAGAAATGCTAAAGGGACTCCTTCAATCTGAAAGAAAAGGACATTAATGAGCAATTAAAAAAATCATCTGAAGGTACAAAACTCACTGGTGGCAGCAAGTACACAGGGAAAAAAAGAATATTACGTCACCATAATTGTGGTGTGTAAAGTCCTCATATCTCAAGTAGAAAGACTGAAAGATAAACCTATCTAAAATAACAACTATAACAACTTTTCAAGACATAGATAGTATAATAATAAATAGAAACAACAAAAATTTGAAAAGCATGGAGATGAAATTAAAGTGTAGAATTTTTATTCATTTTCTCTTTGCTTGTTTGTTATTTGTTTGTTTATGCAGTCAGGGTTGTCATCAGTTTGAAATAATAGGTTATAAAACATTATTTGCAAACCTCATTGTAACCTCAAATCAAAAAACGTAAAACGGATACAAAAAGAATAAAAAGCAAGAAATTAAAACATACCACCAGAAAAAAATCACCTTCGCTAAAAGGAAGACAGGAAAGAAAAGAAGACCACAAAACTACTAGAAAAAACATAAAATAGCAAGATTAAGTCCTTACTTATCAATGATTACATTGAATGTGAATGGACGAAACTCTCCAATCAAAAGACATAGAGTGATCCTCCACTGATCAGGCCTCCAAGCACGTTCCCCAGGCCCCTATCCAGGTCTTCATCTCTCCTATTCCTGCCACTGCCACCTCTACCCTTGGAGAATGAGTTAACTAGGAACATGTCTCCTCACATCCAGAGGTCTGGCGGTCAGTTCTCCAGCAGAGGCAGAAGAGGTGGCAGAGTGGCCATGTGCTTCCTAGGTGGAGTCATTATCTCCATCATGGAGGTGGATACACAGCACAACCTAGAGCCCCTGCCTCCACACACACATTGCTCCAACACTGAGGCCAACAAGAGTGTGGAGGTCCATCAGTTCTGGAGAGTCTTTGCACAGTTGGCTGGAGATGACATCAAGGTCAGCGGCGCAGAACTGATGAATGTTCTCAACAAGGTTGTTATCAGTAGGACTGAACTGAAGACTCGTGGTTTTGGCATTGATACATGTCAAAGCGTGGTGGCCATGATGGATAGTGACATCACAGGCAAGCTGGACTTTGAGGAATTCAAGTACCCGTGGAACAACATCAAAAGGTGACAGATAATATACCAGCAGTTTGATGTTGACCGATCTGGAACCATTTGCACCAGTGAACTTGCAGGGGCCTTTGAGGCAGCAGGGTTCCACCTGAATGAACAACTACAACATAATATTCTGACACTATTTGGATGAAGGAGGGAACATGGATTTTGACAACTTTATCAGCTGCTTGATCAGGTCAGATGCTTCATTCCATGGCTTGAAATCTCTTTACAAAGATGACACTAGACCCCTCCAAGTGAATATCCAAGAGTGGCTGCAGCTGACAATGTGTTTCTAAATGGGAAACCCAGGCCTGCCCCTTCATGCCTTGCTATAGGAGTCACCTTGGAGCCTCAGCCTCTCCTAGTGCTGATCCCATTTGCAGTCACATCTTCATGGGTTCTGCTGACAAATGGGCCTTTTGTTCTTCAAGCCCTTGGTACCCAGCTTCTTGGTCAACATCCAGGGTCAAATGTGCCCCAACATGCCATGCCCTGAGTTGGCCCTGACTCTAAAACATGCTAACACGCTCTTCCAACAGTCACCCCACCCCACCATACCCATCTCACTCTCATGCCATAACCTCACTCTTGTATCTGTGCCAACGTCAACACTTGCATTGCTCGAATGCCCCAAGGGCCCTCTCTCAGTTCTGGGAGGACGACTCCACTCCCTACACACCCTGGTCCACGCATTCACAGTTACCACCCAAGCAGTCAAACATCAGGCTATTCCAGTCCCACATGTTCCAGTGGTTTCATCTGTATTCTGCTCCTAGTCTGCCAGGCCCAGGAGGAAGAAAAAATGTATGAAAAAAAGAAAGAGAGAGAGAGAGAGAGAGAGAAAGGAAGGAAGGAAGGAAGGAAGGAAGGA